CAAAGAAGAGATGTTCCATCTCTCTGATCATCTTGGTGGCCCTCTAGACTTGTTCCAACAGGTCCATGTCCCTCCTGTGCTGGAACCCCAGAGCTGGGTGCAGCACTGCAGGTGGGCTCTCACCAGAGCAGAGGGGCAGAATCCCCTCCCTCCCCTGCTGCCCACAGTGCTTTGGATTCAGCACAGGACATGTTGGGCTTTCTGGGCTGAGTGCACATGGCTGGGTCATGTCCAGCCTCTCTTCCACCAGCACCTCAAGTCCTTCTTGGCAGGACTGTTCCCCATCTGCTCATCCCCAGCCTGGATTGCACCAGGGACTGCCCTGACCCAGGTGCAGCACCTTGTACTTGGTCTTGTTAAACCTCATGCGTTTCCATGGGCCACTTCTTCAGCTTGTCCAGGTCCCCCTGGATGTATCCCGTTCTTCAGGTGTGTCAGCACCACCAAATGTGCTGAGGGTGCTCTTGATCCCTCTGTCTGTGTCATTAATGAAGACTTAAGTAACACTGGTCCAGTACAGACCCCTGAGAGACAGCACTTGTCACTGACGTCCTCTGGGACTCTGAGCCCATTGATTCCATCTCTCTTGGAGAAAAGGATGTTGTGGGGGACCTACAACATAGTGTGTCAAAGGCTTTACAGACGTTCAGATCAATGACATCTGTTACCCTTCTCTTGTCCACTGATGTAGTCACCCCACCATAGAAAGCCTTGGCTGGTCAGGCAGGACTTGCCCATGGTGAAGCCATGCTGGCTTTCCTGAATCCTCCTTGTCTTCCCTGTGCCTTAGCAGAGCTCTTTTCTAAGAGCAAACCTTAGAAGGTTTTTCTGCATTTATACAGTAATTATATAATCCCAGAGCTGCTGGGAGAGTCTGCTCCATGTTCTTCCCAGGCACAGAGGGGAGGCTGACAGGTCCATACTTACAGTGGTCATCCTTTCTTCCCTATTTAAAGATGGCTTCCATTTTCCTTTTTTCCAGTCACCTGTGACTTCACTTGACTGCCACGAGTCTCAAGTATCATGGAGAGTGGCTTGGTAACTACATCTGTGAAGTCCTTCAGGACTATGGAAAGCATCTCATTGGATCCCATATACTTTTGTATGTTCAGGTTCCTCAGGTAATCATGACCCTGATCTTTATTTACCATTCCAATCCTGCAGTCCATCCACATGAGAGGTGTGGGAAGAGAGGCTACTTCTAAAGACTAAGGCAAAAAATTGTTGAGTACCTCAGGCTTCTCTTCATCTGTCATCAGTTTTCCATCACTTCTTTTTGGTGGAAGAATACACTTTCTTTGACCTTCCTTTTCCATATACCCCTGGAAGCCCTTCTTATTATTTGCATTTGCATCTTTGTTCCCAAATGCATGAAAAAAACCCTACCAAACCAAAATGGCCATATTTTAGACAGTTGCAGTGCATTTCCACTCCTCTTTCATCCAGATCCTAGTACCCAATTTACCTGCTCTTGAAGTGCTTGCTGCAAAAATTACACTTCATGGATGATTGAGAAGATGGCTATTGGGATTTATGTATGTGTGTCTCTTAACTCTTGCTCTAAACAGATACATAAACAGAGTAGTATGACATGAAAATACGTGCTTTTGAAAGGATTTTAGGTGTCATGAGCTGGGGATAACTGCTTTAAACACTGCTGGAAGATTTCTCTTTCTCCCTCTTTCCCTTCCTCCAAAAATTGCTGTGTCACAGGAAAAGAGTAGGGCAGGCAAAAAACGGATGAGGCGTTGGTTTCTCAGCTGGAAACATAAACCATGAATGTAATGGGAAAAGGGAGAAAGAGTCAAGGTTACTGGAATCCAGTCACACATTCCTAGCCTTCCCCCTCCAAAGGGACACAGCATAGGCTCTGTGCACTCTGCTTGTTCTAAGGTTGGGAAAAGGGCAACGTCTACTGTATTCAAATTTAAACACATCCTACAACACTGTATGATAGATTCTCCACTTCCATCATCAGCTGCCCACACTATTAATTGCAGAGGCTGCTAATCTGCCTGAGAAGCCAAAATGATATTAGCTTTCAACAGGATTTACTTCTGCATCAGCCAGCAATTACAGTTTAAACTGTTGAAGGTGCAGTTTGCTGTAGGCCTAAGTAATATTTAATAGCATTAAAAATGCACTTCTCAATAATTCTCCAGATCTCTTTACAGTCTCACTGATTCACCAGCCTTGCTGTTCAGTACCAGCATTTGCCCTTATCCCAGCAGCCCAAACACTGTCCCAGTGCCTACTGCCTCAGCAAAGGCAGAAAATCTTGGGCTGAGCCCTCTAGCAAAAGGGTCTTCTGTCTGTCAGTGCAAAGAGAACTCACTGGAAGGAAAAAAGCACTAAGAGCAGGACAAACATCAGGGGTCAGAAGATGGTGGTGGAAAAAGCCTGGAGCGGAGAGTGGGCTGTGCACTGGATAGTGGAGTATCTGCATTTGGGGCACATTGGCTGAGACCAGCCTGTGTCCTTATCTCTGACCCTCCCCAACCTTTGTAAAGCTGGGCTATGCAATCACAGCTGGCAGTGAGATTTCCCTGCCTGAGTCTAACCCTCAGGTGATGCACCAGAGGAGGAACAAGGTACCCTCTGCTCCTGAGAAACATGCTTTTTCTCCTGCCCGGCACTGTTTGGCAAGCTTGGAGCACTGATGGACTAAAGACACCACTCCCCTACTGATATCTCCATGGCACACAGCATTTTATTTGCATTCAGGAGCTGATAAATTAGGGATGGGAATGACTCTGGAGTGCATGGATGACATGCTTATATCTACTGCCATCAAAGGAGTGGCAAAGCTTTTGTTTTCTTGACATGGAACAAAAGTTGATGTGACTTGAAAAGGTAGACTTAAAACTAGGCAAAACCACAAGTACTTCTCTGAAGCAGAGCCAGAACTGGGCTGCCCATACAAACCAGGCAACAAATACAAAATATGGGGTTTTTTTGTGAGTATCCCTGTGAGTTGCATATGAGTATTCCTGCCTTAAACCCTTTTGGTAGCATTTTCATAAAAACCTCATATTGTACCTCTGTTCACAGGGAAGCCATTATAAGTAGATGAATCAGATGACTCTAAATGTTTGTTAATTTGTTAATTCTTATGCAGTCTGCTATATCAAACAGTTATTTTTATTACCAAAAGGAATCCACACAGTTGATTTACAGTAATAGGTATTCATTATATCCATTATAGTATTTGCACTTCTTTTTTGTTGTCTTGGCAGCAAAAGAGAGACTTTTCTCCTTTCTTTTTCTTTTAAACCTTTTATATTTTTATATGTTTTTATAAAATATTGGAAGAGAAAAAAGTCCAGCTTTAAAACAGAGCTGTCAGCATTGCTTTACTTTGTCAGGTTTTCTACCTCTGTGTTTTACTTAATTGTCACCAAGTAAAATCAAGTCAATTCAATTACTTGAGATTAAGGAATCACTTAGGGAGACAGACAAGGTACAGGCATCTATGCATACATCCAGGCAAATATGGAGAGGTGATAAAGAAGCCCTCAATCAAATTTAAAAAAATAAACCCCAAAGAATTCCACGTGTACTGATTTGCTTTAGAACATAGCAGTACTTAGATACCACAAGAACATTTTCCAGCCATAAAGCTTGCCAAACTTTTCACCTCTTTGATAATGGATCCTCAGCCTTACCCAGTGTGCCTGGGAACATTTGTCCTACAATCCTGTCGTGGTTTTAAACCAATAACTAAGAAAATTACTTATTTCTTGCTGTGAGATATGGAATAGAACAAGAGCAAAACAGGCATAAAACTTAAAAGGGAAAAAAACAAAAGTTTATTGACAAACTACAATAATAAGAACACCAGAATAAACTTCTAGAAAAACCTTTTCATCCCTTATCTACCCACTATTCCCTTGTTCACATGACAACAGAGACAAAAACTTTGGAACTTTGATGGTTAAAACAGTCCCAATTCTTGCTAGTCTTTTCACCAGTCTTTGTAGAGAAACAGAAGTTTCTTCCTGTTAATTTATGGAGTTTCTCACAAGAAAACTATTTGTGTTATAGTTTTCCATTGCCCTAATGTTAGCTGCCCAGAGTTGCTATTATTAGAGCTCACTCCTCCCATTTTCACATCACTCTGAAGTGTGTATGGGCCATGAGTCTAGGGATGGCATTTTTAAGGATAAGTTTTTCAAAGTTATTCAAAGGCAAAAAAGTCTTCTTCATCTGTTTCTGTGAGCTTCACAAGAAAACAGTTTTCTCATTGCCTCTCAAGGCTTCAAATCTCCCAGCACTTCACTGTACCATAATTACTCTACTTTTTACTCAAATTTACACTTTGAACACTTCATTCCTCTCTAGATACTGTATCATGAATTAAAGGAGTTCTTTTCAGGACTTCATTGTCCATCTCTATAGTTTTAACAGAGAGATATTTCAGCTTAATTAAAGCATCTTCTTAATTCTCCACCTCTTCTGAAGCTTCTTTTCTTTCCTGTCACTGGTAGTTTATAAAGTCTCTTTTCATGTTGATCTCTCTCTCTCTCTCTCTCTGGATAAAAAGATTAATCCGTAAGTCTCATCTGGGTAATGAAAGAGTTAAAATCTTGCCCAGGCTTTTGTAGATGGTTTAGAGATCTCTGCTGAACAGGAGCTGGAGCCGTCTGCGATGGAAGGTTCCTCATAGCTGCTCTGGAGAGTGTGGCTGTCTCTGCTTGCTGCAAGTCCTGAGCCTCTCTCCTTCTTCACTGGGCAGTTTCTAGTGAATTAGTTACAGCAAAACCTGCAGCCGAGCCAGAGATCGGCTCGGCCCGGCCCGAGGAAAACCTTCCCCAGGCC